CCGCCCTCGCGTTCCTTCGCCGGTTTTCGCCCGGCCGGGAGGCAGGCTCCGCCTGCCTTGCCCTCAGTGCCCGGCCGCGGCCCTCGCCTCTCCCGTGCTCTGGCCGCAGGGGCCGCCTCGTTTTAGCGGCCCCGTCCCGCGGAGACGCGGCCTGCGTTCGTGCGCGGGCCCAGCAGGGTTGTTCTCGGTGCTACAGGCGAGCGCTCCAGGTGGCTCCATAAATGCTGGTCCTGTCTTTCAAAGTAGTGCTGTGGTTACCTGGTGCAGACCCATTGCAGTTCTAGGGTGTCAGGTCCTCCTGTGGCGGTGGTGGTGTGGGCAGAGGCCTGGGGGCTACATTGCACACTGGGGGTCTTCATGCTTTCGTAGAATCACACACTGGTTGGGTTAGAAGGAACCTTAGAGACCATCTAGACCAAACCCCTGCCACAGGCAGGGACACTTTCCACTAAACCAGGTTGCTCCAAGCCCTGTCCAGCCTGGCCTTGAACACTGCCAGGGATGGGTCAGCCACAGATTGTCTGGGAAACCCTAATGTCTGATCTAAATATCCCCTCTGCCAGTTTAAATCCATTCCCCCTTGTCCTGTTACCACATGCCATTGTAAAAAGTCCCCCTCCAGATTTCTTGCGGGGTCCCTTTAGGTGCAGGAAGGCTGCTATGCTATAAGGCCTTTAACCTTGTTAAAGAAAATAAATCTGAAACTAATAACTTGAGCAAAGTGCAAGTTCAGTCTAAACAGATAGACAGGAACGTAATTATTTTTATCTAACACCTATCTCTTCTTGCTAGTACCAATGTTAACTAGCGAGGTGCATCCTTCAGGGGTTTGGTGGGTCCTGCCTTCCTTACACATCCCTCTTCCAGGTGCACCAGAATATTCTGCAGTCTTCTTTCTTCCACAGAGACATCACTCTCACTACAGGGAGCCTGCCAGTGCTGCTGAGTATGCAGGATGCCTTACATGGCTGAATTCAAACTCCAGCCAGTCAGCTCTGCTGGCTTCTGAATCCCCGTAACACAAACCCTTGGAAGACAGCATGCAAAAGAGGATTAATTGCATGGCTCCTTACACTCATGGTGGCTGTCTCTTAAAACTAAGTGCTTTGGGAAAGGCACACAGCTATCACCCACAGTAAAATGGTTTGTGTGATTGGTATGTCAGAAAGCAGGCAACTCTGAATAAATTTTACAGTGCTGGGCTCTGTTCTGGCAAAATTGACCAAGAACCACCTTGATTAAGGTTCTGGTGCTAAGGAGTTGTGAGTTGTCTCCCATGAGGAAGCCTTGTTGGCACTTCAGAACAGTCACCTCCTTTGCAAGGGAGTGCAGAATGTGCAGGGGAGAGAGAATTCCTAAGAGAAGCCCAGTCTCCCTAAGGCAATGATGAAAGAAAGACCAAAAGCAATGAAGAAACTGTGGTAATGCAACTCATGCTGGTATATTCACTATTTTGCATATGTCTGCCTTGTATAAGGTAAAAAGCAGTTTTGCCTTTCTGTTTCAGCTACCTGCTGCCCAGAAGAAACCTTCCGCAGATCTCCAAAGGGCCCAGAGTATTGAAAGTGTGCACAGTCAACTGCTGCTTAGCGGAACTACAACTGACCCATTTCGATGAAGGGGATCAGAGGAGAGCGTGCCAGAGAAACTCAAGGTGACAGCCAGTGCCCTAGCTTATTCAGACCAAAGAAGTGCAGGAACAAACAGTTCCAACACGGTTATCCTCATAAATGGAAGTGGGGAGCAGTGGAGAGGGTGTGTGATGAGAAGGAAAGCCATTTGAGTATTCCCTTTTGTCTTCTCAACTCAGTAACACCTTATGTAACTTTTCTTATTTTAATTTTTTTCTTATTTTTTATTTTCTTATTTTGTATTTTTTTTTAATTGGGACACTGAAAAAGTTTCCTGACTGTAGAACTGTAGGAATAAAAAATAGTTGTGACCATTTTGGAATATTTTTGGTTTTAGCTGAATAAATTTGTATACAAAAAAGTCTAGGAGAGCAAGTTAGAGCCTTTTTAACATAGAGTGTCCTGTAAGCTGTCTGGGCTTAAACCACAAAACAGAGTCAGGTGATTTCTTTTTCCTAATGTAATAAAAGGTGTGACTAAACCCCTGTGATATCACAATTGACTCCTGCATGCTGAAGTTATTACTAAGAATAGCTTTAGATATTCAGCTTGAGCTTGAGCTGGGAGTCTGGTACGGGAGAGCATCGCAGGGTGAAACTGTACAACTTTGTTGCTAACCTGAAGACACAAACAGAAGGAGCCTGGAGGACTCAAACACAGCAGCATCTGACCTCACTTCTCTGAGATTAGTGCCTGTGTCCTTTACCTCCTCTTCGCAATGGGCAAGGCGTGCGTGTGTTGGCAGCTGACATGCCTCAGCTGGCAGGTGGTCACTCATCAAGGGGCAGTAACTCGTCTGCATGTCAGTCTAACTCCAGCTTAATTTTTTTCCTTGAAAGCCTTTCATTCCTCCCTACCATTTGCACAGCAAGCTCCTGGAAATGATCTAAACTGCATGCACGAAACAGGGAAAGAGTCAGGCCTTAGCTTGGTGAACTCCTGAACCATCTGGGAGAGGGGCTGCCTGGCTTTGTGTGTGTCCCTGGCTGCTGACCTTTCTTCCCCAGGTTCCCAAAGCTCTGTCAATTCTACGAAATCTATCTTGCTACATTTCTGCCCAGTGATTAGTTTTTGTTTTGTTTTTTTTTTTTTTTCCTCAGTGCTCGCTGCCCCTTTTTGCCAAAACGGTACTGAAAGAGTTAACGTTAGCCTCCCTTTCTTGTGCCTCCTTATCAAGCTCATGAGATAAGACCTGAAGTGTCTATATGGGGTAAAACAAGGGCAGAAGACATTGTGGTGTCTATCCAGCAGGGTATGCAACAGCGCTCAAACTTTAACATGCTCCCATGTCTTCCTGCCAGTACACATACTGCTTCTGCTGGGAGCAGCTGTGTGTCACCCCTCACTGCCCCTGTTGCTGAAGGGCTGGGGAGAGGGAATAGGTGGTTACTTTCAAGAACTGGAGGTCAGGCACCTTGTTTACAAAGGTTTCTCTGTCTTTATTCATAAAAGCTAGCAGAGCTTTCTGTTCCTTTTCCAACTAGTGGATTTGGTGGCACTTCACTTGGTTAATCAGTTAGCAGTGATTAAACAGGGGAAAGATGAATGGCAGCCTGAGTAACGTCATCATGTTTTCTGCGCAGTGGAAAGGAGTGGTTTTCCAGAGGAACCCCTTGCGAAATCAATGAGAACTGAACTTGAACAGAATTTACCATGATTTAAAATCCCCTTGTGGGTGCTCAGTTCCACCATGGGCTGGAGCAGGGTTGTTGAAGAGGTTACCATTCCCAGACAGCTCTCAGTCACTGTCACACCTATCTTCTGCCACAGGTTATCACCTCTCCTACCTACCCGCAAGCTGCTCATGCAGTCCCTCCCAAATTTGTTTTGTCCAAAGTCAACCAGAGTAGCTTAAGAAGTTTAAATAGTAGATGTCAGCTGAACTGGTTTGTTTTGGATAGCTGAAATGGATTAGGGGAAACCCAAGTCAGCAGATGGGAAGTGAGGGGATGACCTTTTTTCATGGACAACTTCAGGGGCAGTGGGTAGTTTGGCCTAATCTGCTTTCAGAGCAGACTGCTGTACCAGACATAACTACTACTGACAGCTCTTCAGGGTATTTAAAAATAGAAGGGTTGCCGAGGCACCCACATTGAAACATTCATAGCATTTTTAGATACTACTAGCTATGTTGGCATAAATAGCAGGGTACGGCAGGAGTAGCAGTGCAGGTTTGTGGGAGAGCAGCGATGGGAACATGAGGATTTGAAAATGGTAGGAATAGAAGATACAGGACTGAGCATTGAGAAAGAGCAGAAGAGAGAAAAGTTTGCAGATAGAGATCACAGAGTTCAGTGGGAGATCACAGAGTTCAGTCTGGAGAGGGGGAATTTGAGTGGTGAGAAATGGCAGGCATCAGAGACACAGGCTGCAGAGTAGCAATGCTCAAGGGAAAACAGTGAGTTGAGAACAATCACTATCTCCCCATTCTTCTCTTCTTGTTTGTATCAGATCTTGGGAAGTTCTACTCCTCTGGAAAACGCTGAAACGAGAATAGTCTCACTAGTCTGTTGCTACAGGTAGTTTTCATACCTCTACTTCCCTGTAGCTTCTCCAGCACTGTCCTATTCATCCCATTTCAAACAGGCTGGAGTTAGTATGCAAGCAGAGAAGTCTAGGTTCAATGCAGATACAGGTTTTTATGCCAGGAGAAATATAAGACAAGATGGAGCAATATTCCTGCTCTCTGTAAGACAACAGTGGATGATTTGGAGTGGAAAAGAAAGAGATAATTACAGGAACTGGAGTAGCAGAAAGTATAGTGAAAAGAGAAGGAGATTGTCAGCTGTCTGCTTTCCTTAAATCATAAATCCTCTATCCATCACTCAACAAGAATTTACACAATCCCTGTTTCTATCTGAGAACCCATTACTTTTGGAAGTCTTTCATGGGACAGAGGATACCATGTTTCATTGGTGTAAGACTGAGTTACTGAGATAAAGTAGCTCATTCAAGTTAGTATAGCAAGCCAGTTGCAGATCGGAGAACTGAACCAAGTTCCCTTAAATTCTGAATCTAACCACTAAGTCATCCTTCTCCCTCTCTCCATCTCTTGAAAGAAATTGTAACTTTTTTTTTAGTTAACCTGAGCAGGGACATTTAATAAAATTAAGCACTTGTACAAAAGTTTGTTGGCTTAGTTTTTAAATAGACACACATACACACAAAAGTCTGTAAGTGAGATAGACAACAGAAGACAATGATAAAATACAAAGGAAGAAGTAATAAAAATTTCTGGTTCCATAGATGCGCATCGGAAGCTTAGGGGCTTTTGATCAATCAGAATCATCTTCAACAGAAAAAAAAAGTGACTATTTTGATAGTCAAACCACTTCAGTGTGAAGCAGTTTTGAGAAAGCATTTGAAATTGGAGATCATAATAAGTATTATTTACAGAAAAGGAGCATAATAACATGTTGTCATCAGGAAACAGAATAATGAAATACTGTTCTCAAGAAACAGCAAGTTCAGACAAATCTACAGCAGCTGAGAAACTTAACTAGTAACTTTTCTCACTTCTCTCTATATCTAAAGAAAAAATATTTAATTAACAACAATCCCCCCAGTACAGTAAAAAACAAAATCACAAACACATTCCAGAAATTAATTGTCACAATAAACATCCCCCCTTACTTTCTTTTAGTTCTTACTCACTGCTAGTCATTTGTCTGTAGGCTGGTGTACTTGTATCGAAATCAACTTGTAATGACTGTAAGCATAGATGGTGTAATTCATCATTGCTCAGCTAACACTTAAGTTGCTATGCCAATTTATACTATCTGAACAGTAGCTTTGTATGTTCATGTTTTGTTTGTGGCCCATGATGAATCAGAACAAAAATGTATTTGTGTTTATTATGAGGCCAACATAAAATGTATGAGGTCTTTCACTATTCATAACCTTCTTTTAAATTACTTGACTACTTTAGATGATGTGAGAGTATAGTAATTACCAACCTTAAATACATTTTAGACTTTTTGTTCCTGGTAATGAAGTATTTTCTTAAAAGTACCTAGTATACAATGAAAAAGGGCAGCATCCATAAAATGCTCTAAAGTTGTGATACATGAAGTGTAATCTGGGTCAATATAAACTATTAAGTACAAAATTACTGTCTTGGTAGCATGTTAATGTTAGCTCAGAGTCAGGAAATCTGACAAAAAGATGAAAGCAGAAACTGAATGGACAACCTGTGGTATTAAAGACCAGTTTGTATTTTATTTATATTTATTTATTTAAAAAATAGTATTTTCAAGATGTACACGAGAGAGGAAATCTTCTGACACTTTTAGAGTCTTCTCCATTTCTCCTAATGCATTTTGTTGTTTCTGCCTACCTTGAACAGCTCCTGATACCTACAGATATCCTGAGCCTTGTGGATTTGATAAATTAATGTTCATTGTATTTCTGTTTCTAAAGTGCTGTTTGGGTGTTGCAGTAATATGCAAGTGAAACTGTGTTGTTATTCAAACAGATTGTGAAAGATTTCTTTTCAGTGGAATCATTAAAATGCACTTAATATATGAAAAGACCCTCAAAATATCAAAATATGAAGGACAGAAAAAACTTTAATGGAAATGAAAAAAAAAAAACCTGAGTTCTAAAAGGGAAAAGAAACTGAGTTAATGACTGTTTATTTGTTGCTGCTGTGGGAAAGAAAGGCATGAGCACCACAATGACCCGCATTTATAAGCTTTCATTCATATAAATCTTTAAGTGGATAACACTCAAAACATCAATATTTGGGCCTCACAGTAAAAACATTCATAGGAAAAAAAGCCCTGTTAACTTTGAAGAGTGTCTTGTTTTGTTGAATGCACTGGGCAGAATATTGTCAGTCTGGTACTAACCCAATTGTCAACAACAGACAGCAGAGTATGTTGAGAAGGACAGGTGAAAATATCAGGTTACAGGGAGAAGAAGCATGTGAAAATTTCAGAGCGTGTCATTTGTAATTTTTTTGTCAGGATGGAAGGTTAGAATATGTCTATTTTAGCAGCAATCTCAGTTCAAAACTCTAAGGTGGAGGTGAGGTGAAGGACTGCATTTTTATTTTTATATACGCTTTTTGCGTACCCTTCCAATGCTCATCAACAAACTGGTTTCTGTATACTGGGTATGGGTACAACTCTTTTAGCTCTAAGGTGGGGGATGGGGGCGTTGAAACTCTTGCAGGAATGTTTTTGCTTCAAAGCAGTTTGCCACTTGTTCTCCTTGTTGCTGGGGTGAAGACTCATTAACATATTAAAAATGTTTAAAACCCTGGTTTATGTTCAGCCTGCAGACAGAAGGGGAGAAGATCAGTGAAGATAAAACACAGGGCTCCAAATCCAATGCTTTATTTTGTCTGTTAAGGCTCACCTCAGACTTCTCATGACTTGCTTGAAGCTGCACCCTCTTACCTCAGGTATAAATTTGGCTTGTTGACTCTGGTCATTAAAAAATTGTTCCATGTCACTGATCAAATGATGATGAGTTCCAGATAAACTTATGCTGAAGAATGTGCATCTTCGTGATCATTTAAAATCTAAATGAGATATGAAATCAAATGGGACAGAAGGATTTTTAAGAGGGGGAATTTCAAGTAGAGGACATGACTTTCCAAGTCACTATTTCTTGGCAACAGTGTAAGCTCAGAAGAACTTCCTAGACAGGAACATGAGTACAGATTATTTTGTGAGCCGGTCAGTGGAGACATTTATGGGAAAATGGGAGATGCAATTTGAGTTCCAGAATATAAAAGGAAAAAGAAGTCCTTGTTAGAAGGGCTTGTCTAATTACTAAGTTGCAGAAATTGTATGTTTATTCATCTGTTATTTTGTACTAGGACTTACAATTAAATGATGTCAGCTACAGTTTAAGAAAAATGGTTATTATAACTGATGATTCATTTAAAGTACCTTCTTACCATCTAGTGTCGGCAGGAGATTAGGATGCAGTTGCACAAACACTGTAAGCTGGATGTCACTAAAAGAAGAGCTTGGTCTTCCATTTGGTTTACAGCATGTGAATGAACAAAGGCTTGAACCACTACAGAGGACACACAGCTTAGGAACAGGGATGCACAGCAATCAGTAGGGAAAAAGTAAAGCAGCATGTGGCAGTGGCAGTCCTGACTCACAACGGGAGAGAAAATGCAGGCAGATGACTTGGTTAAGATCATTTAACAGGCTGCCGATGACAAAAGAAAATGCTGTAGCTCACAGTTTCCTACCCTCTCCTAAGTCTGAGCTTCTGCCATTTTCCTTTGCTGTGGATCTGGCATTGTTATAATGTGATGTAAGTCAATTCAGCTTGCTAATCGAGCAGAAGTAGAGCGAGCTACTCTTTTGACAGTCATTAGGTTGACGTTTGCCATCCAATGATATTAGTAAAGAGGGTGGTCAAACACTGGAACAGATGCCTAGAGAGGCTGTGGATTCTCCATCCTTGGACATGCCCAATGATTGAATGGACAAGGCCTTGAACAACCTGATCTAACTTTGGATTTGGATTTAATGTTGAAGGCTCTGTTGTGTATAGAGAGTTAGACTAGCTAGCCTCCAGTGGTCCCTTCCAACCGAAATTATTATACAGCATAGAGGGGCAGTCATGATTCCTGTATCTTGTATCCTTACTCTCACTGAGAAATCTCGGTGCATCAGCAGTCCTGGCTGAAAATCTCTCTCAAATACTAAGGTAGTCCTGTCACTATTATGAAATTTCAGTGTATAAATTTCTAGGTACAAATGTCTATGAACAAAGCTCTTTGAGGAGGACATTTGGTTAGATGGTAGAAGTCACTACTTAAAGTCACTATAGATATTGCAGGACTGATCTCATTATTGCTAAACCAAAAGCCAGGTTATTAAATATGAATGTATACTGTAAAAAATACCAAACTGACACATACACAGTTAAAGTTTACAAACAAGCTTAAATTTATGTTGAAGAAAGACTTTACAATAATCCTATGATAATACATAATCATTTTAACCGATCCAGATTAATCTCAGTGGATGTTAAAAACATACTCAGGTTCTCCCTACTTTGTCTCTGTGGCATGCTTGCAATGCAGCATGGCTTCTGGATTTTATTGGACCAATAAAAGTTGTTGTTGTGCTTAGCAATTGGACTTTTTTATGGTAGCAAATTACTTTTACATCCATATAGAGGCCCTTTCACATTGGTAGGGGTGTGAATAAAGGCCCTGGAATAAAATGAGTCAAGGCTGTATGTAAGTAATTGAAGCAATGAAGGTATGAAATCCTTCAGTAACAACAACAAAATCCCTAGTAACAAATGCATATGAAAATATAAATTTTCAAAATCCCAGAGTCTTATTCTGAATTACACACCTCCCTCTCTCCATAGCTGTTCATAAACTGGTAATGTAGCTGTAGAGGGTATATTTACTTCCAGCTAGATGTTCCTCTGCACTTCTGGAGTGGTGCAAAAGGGCTGTATTGTACTGTTCTCTTGTTTCTTCTCAGTTGTTCAGCCAGATTATGACCTTTATAAGCCAAAGTCATACAGAGACAAAGCAACAAAGCCATCTAGATTGTTTATGAATTATTGTAATGTCAAGGAGCTTTATAATTATTTTTTTTATGTATTTCCATTTATACAGGCTCTCAGCACTATGGATTCAGGGGCACCTGTCTTTTCTGCATTTGAGGACAAGTCAGTACAACCTTCTCCTGATCACCTCGTTTTCATTGGTTTATGCGGGTACACTCAAATGGTTTCAGACTCTAGCCTTTCAAGCAGACTTTTAAATAGGTATGTGCTTCCTATAGCATTCCAATGTATTTTGGTGGGAACACAGACATAGACTCCACATTGTGTTGAGAGAGGGGTGCAGGCACAAATGCAACCACACTGCAAATTGTCTGGCACCAGGGGATTTGGACCTGCAGTGTGCTGAACAGATCATGCATGTATTGCCTTTGCATGCCCACCAAATTAAGTGTGTTGCAAATAAATTTGCCTCTGGGTGGTTGCCTGTGCAAGTTTCTATGCAGTAGGAATCTGTAGTACAGTCAGTGACTGCAACCTGTCTGGAACTGTATGTTCTTTTGCAGAGAATTTTTTCTATACCAGATGTTAAATCAGTTGCGCCAGGTACATACGCAGCGGCACTTTTCTAGATTCCTGGATGCCTTGTGACACATCCATCAAAAGTAGTAGTCTGCTGCCAAAACTGATGGAAGAAAATAATGAATGGAGCCATGCGAAACCACCAGCATAACTCACAAATTCCAGTTTCATTCTTTGAATTGATGTGTAGGACACCAGTCACCAACTTAAGCAGTGAATCAACCATTCTTTCCTAAAACTAGGAGTTCAAGAGTTATTTGTTTTGTTTGGACCTCATTTTCAAAATCCCAGTTTTCTCTAAAACATGCTGGGTCTGATTGCTGGTTCAGAGCAGCTAAAGATCTCATTCTTCAAGAGTGTATCTGTGCTGCCTCATAGCTTCTATACTCAGTTGAAAATTATGTCTAAGTGGGAGTCAAATGCTGACACTAGAAAGTTGATAATTGCAGCTTGGTGGTATTCTGCATTTGTGAATATCTCTGGCCAAAGCATGTATGGAAGAGGCGTGAACTTGTAAGAGATTCTGCCCTTAAATCTCCACATGGAGCAAAGCCAATAAGAATCAGGCTTGCTCTCTCTGTACATCTATCTGCAAATAGCTACAGTATAGTATAAACAGACATAATAATCCGGTTTATTTTGGATGATTGATTAATGGGAACATTACTCATATACTCAGTGCATGACATTTCCTATTACTTGTTCGTATCATTTGAGAGTTAAAGGATATAAATACTTAGGAATTTGCCACCAGTTGGGTCGCCACCTGTCTGCTGAACACATTAAAGGGGGAAAAGGGTGAGTTGTATTCCATTTAAGAATGCTGTAGCTATCTGAGGGACTCTGAATAACATTTCTAACACTGTCAGGGGAAAATTTTCCATAGCAGTCTCAACACAGACTAAGCAATAGGGTCTTTTCTCCCTGACATAGCTAGGCATTTAAAGGACTTAAAAGAGAGATGGAGGTAGAGGGAAGGGAATTATTTCACTGAAGCAAGTTTACAGTGCTCTGGAGCTGACACTTCTTTCAATAAAACAAGTCAGTAGACAGCTAAGGACTATATATATGCAATCAAAGTGAACATTTAGCAAACAGCTGTCGATCTGTGTACGGATTCACTGCTTCCTTGGTTAATATTTATACCTGACATTGTAGCAGTTGGTTAATAAATAGCTCATTTGCGTGAAGAACTAGAGATGGTAAAAAACAGCAACAAAAAAATCTAGAACAAACACATGCAAATCCCCACCTTCATTTCTTTACGCAGAATACCTATCAAACTGATGGCAAGCTATTCTGTAGCATGACATCACTTGGCCCTATGAAATGACCACTGACAGGTCTATTCATGGTATCTATAATTAGCTACTTACCTCTAAGTTTCAGTGATTTCAAGCAGCAGATTGATGTAAATGCTTTAAATCAGTTTCTAGAGATGCCTTTGAAACCAAGCAGACTAATACCTAACATGGGCATCAACACCACATACAAATGTCAAGCTTTCTCCTGTAGCTTAACCTTGGTCTTAAAATCATGGAAATGCATTGAGAAAACTGATCTATGTCCTGTTTGGAAACAGATAGCTGTGCATCTCCAGGGATGCTGAGGAGGATGAAAGCTCCTCTTGCTATAGGCTTACTGCTCTTAAATTACCTCATTTATCTTTTTTCTAGAGATATGTCCCAATAGACAGAAACCATTAATGGTCCCTTGTAGAGCACTATAGAGGGAACCCATTCAAGAATTAATACAGCTTTAATGTACGCTGTTCCTGGGTCTGACAGCAAAACTTCCAGAGAGTGTGCAGGAAAGGGGCACAGTGCCACAGAGAGCTTCTGCTACATGTACAACTGCACATTCTGACAGCGAATGGTTTGTAACACAAAACAGCAGAGATGTAAATGGAGTAAACTAATTTATATAGTTTTCTGAAATTGTAGTGTCAGTCCCTAATTCTGGGGGACAATATAATTTCCAGTCCCAAATTCCTAAGGGAAATCCTGAGGTAGATGTTAAAATCAGACCACTTGCTTAAAAATCAGCTTGATTTCAGTGTGTACTAGTGTTTCACAGATCCTTCTTCCCTTGGATCAGTCTTGTCTGAAATTTGTTTAACAGTACTCTAACATTCAAAAGAAAAAAATAAAAATTCACAGTGTGTTTTTTGATTTAAAATATAGTCCTTTCAGACACAGGAACACCCCCCCCCCCTCCATCCCCCAGTCTTGTACTTAAATGCTTTTTGCAAACTAGGCAGTATTTTCTAATTTTGATTTTATAATTGCAGTTAATACCCCAAATCTTCAGTCACCATAACTCAATTATTCTTTCAAGTCAGACATAGTCTGGAGCTTACAATTATAACATATTTTTTAATGTGTGAATGAGAAAATTACTAGGTATTTATATGCATTTTAGTCAACAATTTTCTTCATTGTTATATTTTTCATATGATAATTTGAGAACTAGCAGTCTGACTGACAAACTTAAATGCCATTTCTTCCAGTGAAATCACGACTGAAATGAGCAGAGTCAGAGTAGCAAAAGGCTTGACATGCACTAAATCCTCTAATGTTTCATGCTGTATCTCTGGGGGTATACCAATATCTACACTGAGCTGGTGTCACCTGAGCAAATCCTGGTCCAGCATCACAAAGCAGGGCACCTGAGTATGACACAGCTTCCATCAGGAGCATGCACTTAGGTTCCCCTTGAATAGAAACTGGAGAGGAGAGAAAGGAGCTGGCTCTTAACCTAGATCTCACCCAGTTACTGCATGTTATCAGCATATATGCTTAACAGAGCTTCTGGATCTGTCGTTTTACTTATAACAAATTACTCCAAATACCTGAGAAGCCATTCTAATTTGCTGTGAATTACTAAGAGAGAAGCATGAGAGTATTTTCCAGGTTGCTCCAACCTGGCCCTGAACACTCCCAGGGTTGGGGCAGCCACAGCTACTCTG